ATCTACCAGATTTCAATAGTTTACATCTAATCTCTGTGATTTGTCCCTATTACAGATAGAAAATATCACTGGTGATTGATCAATTTACATTACACTGTGTGACACTCTGCTAGAGAAAGCAAGCTCATGAAGGTGGAAAGGAAGATTAGAGTGTACCCGCCTCCCTCTTTAAAGGCCATATGGCATTTTACTTTCTTTTTAGATTTTGCTTACAAAGACAGCATCAGAAATATCAACCAAATCGTTCAAATCACCTGGTCTCCTTTGTCCTGACGAAACTTTTGCATAATAGTTTTACTAATTCCTGCATGCTGGGGGCTTTTGAGGGAATTCCTGTGGTTTTTCTTTCCAGATACAGCCTTGCATCTTTATCTTGGTCGGCCTCAAACCATGATCATTATCCTACTTTTAGCCTCCCATGTCATGGAATTTGCCCACCATATTTGTTGAGATGGCTCTAGCTAACTTTTTGCCCAGCATGACATTGAACCATGACCTTCCAAATCTCTGTTTTTAGAGTAGCTGTCCTAGTGAAATTCTTTAATATGACCAAATAGTCAGTATCCACCTTATACGAACTATTTATTCTTGGTAGGCTTGATTAGGATGAGTGTTCTCAGCTCCACCATTTCCTTAATAGCCACTGAGATTTTCCATTATCTTTTCTAGAATCTTGTGTTGTTTAATAGTAACTAAGAGGGACATTTGGGCAGTTCTAGAGGCTTTCATTCCTGTACATTTAATTAATACTGGATTAAAAATGCCTTGCCACAGATTAGACTCAAGCCAGAAATAACAAGACCCTGAAATTGGGTGTCACCTCATTTCCAATTATATATTTACCCAAAGGCAATACTGCTGCGCAGTATTCTTCATTTCTTACCTATAATTTTTATGATGATGATCTCTTCCACCACAGCTGGTCCTTTACTTCCATCCTTACCCATCTGCCTCTTGTTTATCCCTCTTACTGGCTTCCTCTGCCTTAGTAGTATTGCCACATATTTTTCACTGCTGTTTTCCAAATCCGTGTTTACTATCCTTGGCCATTCAGTTTAAAGCATGACATAACCTTGGAGTCCTACTCAAAATTGGGCAAGGACATCCTTGCCCAACTCAGTCTATCTGCATCAACTGCTTCAAATGGAGGAGTAATTTAGCAACCTGTGTCAGTCCCTTTCATTCCCATTAGCGACTGTCATTATTGCATTTATCTTCTGAAATGAAAGGGTCAGATCTAACAGGTTCTGCAGTGGAGGCAGTTGCTGAACCTGTACCACATTTCTGACCTTCCAGCTGGCAGTACATGTGCTAGGAAATGGTTCACAGGAATCCTGTCCATTTTCTCTGTATTATTAGGTGTCTTTACAGCCACCCGAGGAGAGCTAATAGATTTACATCTGGCCATGATCTTTCCTCTGAATAGTCCAGATTTTCTTTCCCTCATAATACACAGCATGACCACTGCAATAATATATATGCCTATGAGTGGACACACCATCCTGTTCTCCCAAAAGAAAGGTCACATGCATAAGGGACTTTTCTAAGCATAGTCTGTCTACTAGCATTTAGGATAGAGGATAGAGTTTAAATAGACATATTTCTGGTTATAATATAGCCAGCCCAGTTGCTAGTAAACTTAATATTTACTCTTCTTAAGATATGTTCTATTTCATAATGAGAGAACCATAGTAATAAGAGCTTAGATTTACATCACACCAGGCTTTGTCTATCAAAATGATCATTAGTATCTCCACAGGCAGGAATTACTGCAGCAAGTTGGGGTTAGCACCTAACATTGTTTTTCATGTTGCAATAACTCAAAATTTATCATTAACATATCTGCTCAGTTAATAATCTAAGGTTTCAAGAAAGGATGGATCTACCAATGCCTTTTTCCTATAATCATCTGTCTAATTTGTGGTTTACAAGATACTCATGGCTACTAAGCATTAGAAATGTAAGTTCAAATGTCTAGTAACTATGAACACATGTCTTCATCAAATTTGAAGAATTTTGTATTGCATACAGAATTTCAAACTGCTCAGCTTTTACTTTTAACAAATATTGAAATGTTATTTTTGGATCTACTGAGTTAAATTTTAAAAGCCATAATTATTTTTGCCTATTTCTTGTAACTTGTTATGATGTAGTTAAAGTTTTTTTAAATTGCTCACACATGTTCACTTGTGGCCCAAGGACCAAGTGCAAGATATAGTTTCTAGTGTCACTTCCCAGATTGGCCAAATACCACCATCTTGTCACCATCAATATTAAGTATAATCTTCTCTCACATCCCACCAGGGGGTTGATTTTTCGTCTTCAACTAAGTCAAGGAGCTGTGTGCTTTGCTGATTGCTTTTCTTTCTCCCCAAATGGCTTTGATTTCACAACTAAAAGGGAATAAGGAAGTTAATTCTATTTTGGACTGCTTCCTCCTCAATTTTATCTTTTCTAGTGTTGGGTCATCCAGCCAACACTTAAACAAGGAATAAATCGGTGCCATCCATAGTCACAAGATAAGCTAGACTTTTTGTTACCTCAAACCCAGCACAGATCTAGTATAAGATTTCCTTCAGACCTTAGCACAAATAGCTTTTGTTCATCTCTCTCTCTCTCTCTCTCTCTCTCTCTCTCTCTCTCTCTCACTCACACACACACACACACACACACACACAAATAAAGAACATTAAAACCTGGTCAGCTTCTGTGTCCATTGGCGATATTTAGGGTTCAGTTTGTCTCAGAATTCCCCAGAACCAGTAGGATTTAACCTACTATTGTAGTTACTCCTCACAAGACTCAGTAGTCTCTAAAAAAGCAAGGCTTCTGTTATCCCATCACCCACACAGGACATGCAAGCACAAAAGCCAAGTGCATATGTCGTTTCCTTGACACAGAGAAGTGGCAGTGTCTGTTTTATAGTAAACCATCAGGCCCATGGGCCATCGGTCTGTAGCCTTGTGTATAACTTCTCCACAATTCCCTGCCTGCACATGTGAGCCTTCTATCTGGCCCTTCAAAGCAAAGGAATTGTCCATTTATTTAGCACTATTGTTTGCAAGGAAACTATAGTCTGAGTCTAGTGTGAACCCTTCCTGACAGACGTGTAGAAAGACACAACTGGCAAAAACCTTAGTACCTCACCTAAAAGGTTAATTTCAAGTGGACTATCCTTGTTTTGACTGACATAAGCAGCTGAGGTGTCTGAAGGTTGTAAAGAACAGTCAGAAAGGTTATCAGTGAATTCTGCTTTTTCAGGTACAGAAGATAAAATTCTGACATTTAAACATTTGTCAAGGAGTTTCACAATTAATTTACCGATATATGAATGAAAATGTTGATTGAAAAAGTTATTTTTGTCTTATTTTAAGATAGATTTTTAAACATATCATTTGATAGCATTTAAAAGGCAGTATTATACTTTAACAAAATTCAGATGATCTGCACACATCATAGTTCCAATTACCCTGGTAACTTTTGTACACCACTAAATTTTACCAAGTTAATAGGATTTTTTTTACTCCTTACATAACAATAGTTTAATCCCTAGTATTCATACTTCTATTCAAAACATACACAAATTCAAAGCAAATAAGTTTACCACAAAATTTTCATGGGAGCCAAAGAAGTGGTAGCCTAAGTGAATTGCGTATTAAACAATACAGAAAAACTGATTTCCTGTCCAGATGACAAGAGTGGACTAGTGGGTCCAGGTGATTTGAACTCTCAACTTCTTTTTCACATGATTCTATTAAATACAATTGTTCATTTATATTACAATTAAAATGTTTTCCAATAATTATATGCTTTCGTTTTTCAGGTAGAGTTCCCTTACTTTCAAAACTCATCCCCTCCAAAAAGACATTTTGTATGTCAGTGAAGGAATTTCCATCATTTCCTCATTTTTAGTGTATCTTATCATTTATATTTTCCAACTGTATCGTTTCTAACTTTATATTATATAATGCTGCTTATTAGCTAGTCATTTTCATTGACCCATAGCAATTATCATGAGCCTGAGCTGATGAGTTTTCATCTTTTATATGGTAGATAGAACTATATTTAATTAATTATTGCTTTTCATCTTTAGTATCAGAAAATTCCTTTTCTTTGGAAGTCAACTATTAACCCATTGTAAATAAATGCCTTAAATTATTAGTGAATACTATCATATATTATTTAATACCTATTTTTCTATCACACATTTTATCATATAGTTATTAAATAATTTTTCCTTTATTGAAATGCATTGGCAGTTCTTCTTAATTTGCCACTTTTAAAAGGAATGACAGCTGTCAGAAGAGTATTAGTTGTGAAGATAAGCTTCTAAAAGGTTATCCTTGAACATGAAATAAACTTCTGTCCAAAAAATGTATATAAATTAGAATATACAGTTATCAAAAACATAAAGCAATCTTATAAGTATCAGAAAGAATTCGTGTAAAACAGAGAAACCATGTGAAGGATTACCAAGAAAGTAGTGTTATTGTTCTAGACTGTATTTTCCAAGGAAGTAACTTAGAATTGTAGGAAACAGGTATTAAAAGGTTATCTCCATGAGAAAGAAAAATTCAGTCAAGGATTGTATTTTCCCTCTTGACATCACATATTGGCACATATGGGTGCAAAATGTCAAACCAAAATTTAGTATGTGAACATTTATAACACAATATCCCAAATACTTTTTTTTCCTTTCACTTCAATACTCAGTTATTCTGTCTGTCCAAAGATACCAGAATTCTAGGGTTTTTTTTCTTTAAATCATACCTTTCGAGAGCTTCCTACTAATGAATAGGCATATATAGACAATGCTGCAGGATAAAGTTCAAAGCAAAAAGATGCAACCTTAGCTCATATGCTTCACTTATTTTTTTCCTCATATTATTGAAGACATATGTCATAATGTCATAATGGTCTGTTACAGCTTAGGCTGAAATGCTTGCTATACATGCCCAATTCCATTACTGAAAAGATTTATTACTATTTTTCTTAAGCAGGATGATGAGGTAAGGGAAAGTCGATTCAGCTTTGCAGCCTATGGAATGGGACCGTGTCTGCAAGCAAAAGACGGTATAACTGCAAAGGGCCCAAACCATCCTGCCCAGGTAATGCCAAAAAGCCCCGATGAAATGAGGAAGGTCTTTATCGACCGAGCCAAGAAGATAGACACCATCTCCAGAGCCTGCTTCCCATTAGCTTTCCTGATTTTTAACATTTTCTACTGGGTTATCTATAAGATCCTTAGGCATGAAGATATTCATCAGCAACAAGATTAAACCTCTGAGGACACACAGAAAAGATGTTTAATTCAGAAGACTATTTCATTGCCATAGGGGTGTGTGTGTGTGTGTGTGTGTATGCTTTGTGTGTGTGTGTGTGTGTGTGTGTGTGTGTGTGTGCTTGTGTGTATGGATGAGATGTACAAATGAAGAGCCATTGCAGTAAAATGGCATATGAAGAAAGGTGGTTATTGATTGTCTCTATGAAGTCATGAGACGGGTTAAGATTCTTTTAACAGATCTGAAATATATGTTCTGAGGATGCTGTTTAATATATATCCAAGATGATCTGGGTTTTCACAGTCAATCGTGTAAGTAAAGCTTAACTGCCAATATGTTTATATGTTATATAAGATGACATAATAGTAGATATGAAAACTACTCTAAAATTTCCTGGTTTTTAATCTGTGATAGTAAATGTTATGGAAGCAAAATATGTATAGTAAATTTTATTAAAGTAAAAAGAAAAACGATGAGCATAATAAAAAATAACTTGAGATGTAAAATTATTTTCATATACCATAGCTTCAAAACAGGAAAGAAATCAAATAAGTCAGTGAAAAATTCAAATGGACCTGTACAGAATTAACTATAGAAACAATATACTATCAACATGTGTGATGACAAAATTTAAATTTAAAATATTAAAAGACTTCTATTAAACACTACATTCACATTTTTAGTATGCTAAAATTTCCTTCCATGGAAATTGAAACGAAGTGGCTAAGTAAATTACAAAAGTTACTTTTCTTAAACTTCATATCTCTAGGAATAGAGATGAAAACGGTGAAAATATTTTTGTTTTTACATAAAAAGTATAGTAATCACTTCTCAGCCTTTTGTCTAAGGTCAAGCACATGGTTAAGCTATGCATTTTTAATTATTGCCAAGCACTGAAAAATTCAAACCAGCATGTTTGTTTTTAGATTTTAATAGCTGTCTAAATGTCTGTATTAATTATGTTTAATATTTTGATGTTATTGAGCAAAGATCAATAATGTCTTTATGTTCTTGTTTGGAATAAGTCTTACAATTTGATGGAATTAAAATACTTACATTTTGGTAATAATGTAATGAATAAAATACAAATAGATTCATGAAAGACTTTTTAAAAAATAAGAGCAGTTTCCTACAAGCTTTAAGGGTTTAAACTCTCTCTAAACAGAAGAGATTTTTAAAATTCTAAATGATGTAAATATGCTCATTCTATTAATAGAGTCCATTCTATGTCCTATTCTAAAAAAGAATTGTTTTAATATTTCTGAAGTGAATGAATTCAAAATGTGTACCATTTACAAGTTTTGAATAATTTTAAATGGGTTTTTACTTAAAATTTATCAATGATCCCTTGGCATCATTTCCACTACAAGCACCATTTGCTCCTTCTGAGCAGTGGAGTTAGGTGATGATCATGATGGCATTCTTAGTGAAACTGAACCAGATTCTGATTCTTTTTCAGTTTTACTATTTTTTAAGAAAATATTTTTTACCATTAATGCCATTAATTAACTCGAAAAAGATTTCAGAATGCTTTTTACAAATTTTAATTGTTGTTCGAACGAAAACTCAGTGCATCAAGTTATTTACAAAGTTTAAACATTAAACAAGCTACTTGCCCAAAAGTATACTAGAAAAGCCAGTTCTTGAACTGAATGGTACTATAGTCTGACCTTCAACTACTCTTTAACTATTAGCTGAAACTGCCATTTTAAACTGAAACTTTCCAGTATTTCTATACTTTGGTGCATTCAGTCTTTTTTTTTTTAAATAATAACTTTTGAAAAAAAATCAATGCTTGGGAATGTTTGCTAATGAAGGACCAAGTCACTTCCCTTTTTAAATAATTACTTTGAACAAGTAATAATTACAAATACAATGTAAATGACACAGTTGAAAAAACTCTACTTACCTTTACTTACCTTGAGGACTACTGATCCGTAAGTTAAATGCTGGTGTCTTACAAAAGCATGGAAGCATATGCCCACACTCAAGACTAGAACACAGCCACTATTTCCATTCCCTGAGCATCAACTAGAAGGTCTGAAGAAATGGTTAACAACACTGCCTCCATATGACCCTAAAATAGTTGAATTCATTTTTTCTGATACTTTATACATATTATTTCAAGAGTTATCTTAACATTGCTTAAATTAAGTGAATTCCAGAAGCAAAAAACAAGAATATAATGAACATAAGCACACAACTTCGCAAAGGAATTCAGAGAGTGCTTGCTTCCACATAGTAAAAGATTTCACATTGATTTAAAAAAAAACAAAACTGAAAAAAACACCAATTTTGAGAACACTTGCCAGCCACAAAAATCTCTCTATATCAAAATTCTGCTTTCCTCATGCAGAATTCTGCTTTACCACTATATTTACCATTGCCTTTCTGCACTAAAACCAAAACAAAACCAGCAGGACTGCTAGGACAAAGTGAACATTAGTTAATCCATTAAGTTTAAAAGAGTGTATTTGATATAGTGAACTAATGAACTCTTATAGATCCTATAAAAATGGAAAACTATAACATCTTGATATAGCATTTGCCTCGAATCAGAAATGTTTAATCTATTTTTGTTCTTCTTATTCTCATTCTCATTGTCCTGATTGTTGTTGTTGGAATATTTGGAATTGAACCCAGGGTGTTGTAGAATGCAAGCATTCTATAAATGAGCTATACTCTCAAATCTAAACCATAATATTTTTACACTAAGCCAACCAGGAATTGGTGAGGAATTTCAAAAGTGTGAATGTATACTCATTAAAGTATATTTAGGTTAGATTTCTATGGAAACAGCCATGATGGGAAGTACAAAATTTTGTGCTGTTTATATCACCTTAAAAATAAATTGTGCTTCATAACCATTTACATATTTCATTCCACAGCATATCACTTTTTAGAAATTCTTGCTCTGCAGTTAATATATGTGTACCTAGTCCCTTGACCAACAATTCAAACTGGACTTACTCTGTAACTAAGAGCTAGAAATTTACAACTTAAAATAGATTGCAGAATCATTATGAAGACAAGAAAGCCAAGGGTCTTTAGAACTTCCTGAGTGGTTTCAAAAGTTTGACAAGTATCAGCTAAGAGCAAAACTGTAGAGAAGGTAAATGGTTTAAATAAGCATCAGACAAATTATTAACCATCCTTGATTGTCATCATGTGTTTTACTTCAACATAGATTTCACACATCTTGCATCATAGAGAGTAACACAAAATTTCAAAGTATATCACCTATATTTCTCTCTACATAATGATGAACTAGGAAGAAAAAAAAACATATACAGCATGAAAAAAAAAACAGTTTATGTTGATGCTAAAACAATAAAATAACGGACTTGATCAGCAGATTAGGAGAATGAATGTGGCTTCTATCCATATAAAAGTTCCATTTTTGACAGTGTATTCAAAACAAATATAATCAATGAAAACATAGCTTACAAAAATAGAGATTATTTTAGTTCACTGAAATTAGTCAGAATTACCATAGTGACTCACAGAAATTTTTTTCATCTTTGTAACTGCAATTATACCTGTCTACTAAGCAGAGTTATACTAACTACTTTACTTGCGATTATATGTATTCAATTTTTGAACTAGATCATTATTTACTGGGTTTTGTGCTATGCTGGTAAGCATTGTGAAGGCTGACAAACTGTAAACTTGCATTGTCAGCTGCAAACTTCATGTGCATTATAATGAAGAATTTAGCTGTAAAATCTGCATAACTTTTTAAATCTCAAATTCCACATATGCCTTAAATCTAGACCCCTAATTATCTAACAGCATCAAGCAAAATTAAAAATCTCCAGTGTAATTAAAAAAATAACTTTGAGAAGAACTTTTTCTTTTTAACTTAATTTTTTTGTGTTTTGTTGTTGTTGTTGTTGTTGTTGTTGCCAGTCCTGGGCCTTGAATTCAGGGCCTGGGCTCTGTCCCTGAGCCTCTTTGTGCTCATGGCTAGCGCTCTACCACTTGAGCCATGGCACCACTTCTGTTTTTTTCTGCTTATGTGGTACTGAGGAATCGAACCCTGGGCTTCATGCGTGCTAGGCAACCACTCTACCACTAAGCCACATTCCCAGGCCCAATAACTTTTAATTTTTACCTTTTTAAAATTGTTATTACAAAGATGATGTACAGAGAGAGGAGTTACAGTTCCATAAGTCAGATAAGTACATTTCTTTTTGGACAGTGTCTCCCAAGAACTTCTTCTTTAACTGAACCTATTGAATAATGGGCAATTGAAAAAAAAAAACCCACAAAGATTAGTAGTTTAATCAGGGGCTGGTGGACCACTCCTCTAATCCTAGTAATCCTAATTGATGTGCAGGCTGAGATTTAGAATTTTGTGGTTTGAAACTAGCCCAGACAGAAAAGTCTATGTGACTCTAGCTCCAACTAACCATCAAAAATTCTGGACTGAAAGTGTGGTTCAAATGGCAGAGTACCAGCCATGACAAAGAAAGCTGAGAGTGGCAGTAGCAATCACACACACACACACACACACACACACACACACACACACACACACACACACACACACACACATATTGGAATTATATTAAAGACAGAGTCTTGCTCTCTTTGGTGCCTTCATGACTATGCATCCTTGGGGCTTCAATTCCATTTACAACAATGTAGGAATACTTATGACCATCTCAGTGATCAGAGAAGAAAAAAAGCCTCTAACTAGGCACACAGATAATCTCTGGAGTCATAAATACTAAACATCTACCCCATGAAAACTGAAGGGGAAAAAAGTATTCATCATTTCATTGGCTCTCATTTTGACCTCAAAATTTGTTTACTTATTAAGTACATATTTGAAAGGCCACCAAATATTAAGAACTACATGCTGAATCTGTAAGACAATTAACTGTCTTCCAATACAGTATATTAGAACATGATTTTCCTCTTGATTCACATTTTTCTTATAAGAAATGTCCTACTCAGCAGATTCTTTCTTCTTTCTTCTCTTCTCTTCTACTCTTCTCTCTCTTCCTCC